GGGTGCCCCGGACGGGGGGGCCCGGGCTGGGGGTCGCAGCCAATGAAGTGTTGGCAGCAGGGCTGGCATAGCAGTGGGCCGGCGTTGGAGCAGGGACAGCTGCACCACAATCCCTTCTCCGTTCTCTTGGGGTTTAGGGCACGCATGTACACACATGTGCCTGGTGTGTTTTTCAAGTCTTCAGGTCCAGGACGGGAACATGAGGTCAGCCATGTGGGATCCAGCTGCCTTAACCACCATGCCACCAGCTGTCCCTGGGAATCTTATTAAACCTGCCGCCCCTCCTACTCCAGCCTCGCTGGGGCTCTGAGTGCATTCCACATCTCGGTGTCTGCAGCCTGTCAGACCCCAGGGGACATTGAGGCCTGGGCGCTGGAGTTGGCAGGCCCTCGAGGCTCGCTCTGCAGCCCAGGGCCCTCGGTAGCTGTCCCAGGTCTCAGAGGCTCTGATGAAGGCAGGGATGGAGGACGTGTTGAGAAGCTCTGCCCTGGGCCAGGTGCGGCCCTGCTGCAGCTGGGCGGACACCGGGGATAGGCGGCGATGACACTGACCACCCAGCCCTGCCTGGGGGGAAGGGCACCCCCCACACACCACCCTGCACGTCGCTGTTTGTCTCCACAGCTGCCCTGGGTGTGCGACGAGGGCACCAAGACCCCTGCCGTCCTGCAGGGCCACATCGACTGTGGCTCCCTGCTGGGCCACCGCGCGGTCTACCGCATGTGCTTCGCCACCGCGGCCTTCTTCTTCCTCTTCTCTCTGCTCATGCTCTGTGTGCGCAGCAGCCGGGACCCCCGGGCCGCCATCCAGAACGGGTGAGGGTGGACCCCTGCTGTACACACCCCTCCAGGGATCTCCAGACCCTGCCCTCAGGCCTAGGCGCCACCAGCCAGGAGGGCACAGCGCAGAGACCAGCTCCTTCCGAGGGCAAGCTCCGAAGGGCCACGGCAGGCTGGGGTGCAGCACTGGGACCAGCTGGGCTAGGGCCCGGTGATCAGCTCACCCCTGCCCTGGCTTCCTTCTAGTCCAGGACAGCCTCTGTGCCCGTCAGACCTTCAGAAAGCCCCTCTTCACCTCCGGAATGTGCTCTTTGCGGGTAGGGGGCCCTGAGGCAGGCCCCCGCTCAGCCTCCCTGTCCCTCTACCCCCTCCCCCGCAGGTTTTGGTTCTTTAAGTTCCTGGTCCTCTTGGGCATCACCGTGGGAGCCTTCTACATCCCCGACGGCTCCTTCTCCAACAGTAGGCGGGCCTGGCGTGGGCGGGGCCCAGAGGGAGGGCGGGGCCGCCGGTGGGGCGGGGCGGG